GTGAGGCCGGTTAGCGAGATAGGGAATTCATCTTCTTTAGAATATAAGCTTTCTGCCTTAACTGATGCTATTTCTAAACTTGTTGTGGGTAATATAGGGGGTAGTAAGGGTAAACCTTGTGGAGTGTGTTGCTTGGAAGGACATCCTACTGATGCGTGTCCAACACTCCAAAATCCTGAAGTCAATGCTTTGTTTTTCAATAATAACAACCAAAAGAAGTATGATCCTTTTTCTAACACTTATAACGAGGGTTGGAGAGACCATCCAAATCTGCGTTATGGTCCTCCGAGGGGTAATAATCTGAATTTTTCTAATAATCCACCTCCCCAGCAAGATAGGGCAACCCAGATGTTAGAACAAGTGCTTAAAAAGATGGATGATAAATTTACTTCGGTTGACATAAGTCTTAAGCAACTTCAAGAAAGACAAACAGCCTCTGAAACTTTGATTAGTAATATGCAAGCTCAAATGAACAATAGGCTGCCTTCTCAACCCTTTCCCAACCCTAAAGAGAACCTTAATGCTATAGAGTTGAGGAATAAAAAAGTGCTCAAAGAACCTAAAAGCATTAGGGAAGAGGAAAAAGAGTTAAAAGTTGAACGTAGAAGTCCAAAACAGCCCTTAGAACCTGAAATCCAGCCTCTGGACTCTGAAGACCAGCCTTTAGAACCTGCAACCAGCATCTTAGATGAAGACAATGAGGCTGAAAAATCTGAGGAAAAAGGAGAAACTGACCTTAGTGATAGAAATCCCGCCCTACCACACCTTAAGGCACCCTTCCCTAGCAAATTCCTTCAACCTAGAAAGCCTAAAGAAATTGATCTTGCACTTCTTGATACTTTTAAGAAGGTAGAGATTAATTTACCTCTCTTAGAAGCTATTAAGCAAGTCCCTAAATATGCTAAGTTCCTAAAGGAGCTTTGCACCAACAAGAATAGGCTAACGGGGAATGAACGGGTAAGAATGGGTGAAAATGTCTCTGCTGTTTTTCAAAAGAAAATTCCTCCAAAATGTAAGGATCCTGGTGTTTTTACCATTCCTTGTCTTATTGGTGATTTGCACTTGGATAGAGCCATGTTGGATTTAGGATCTTCTATTAATGTAATGCCCAAAGACGTTTTTGATAAGCTTAATATTGGGGAACTGAAACCGACAGGGGTAGTGATCCAATTAGCCGATAGGAGTTATACTTATCCCGATGGTCTTCTTGAGGATATCTTGGTGAAAGTCAATGACTTAGTTTTTCCCGCCGATTTTTATGTGTTGAGCATGGGTTCCGATACATCTGACATACCCATTCTTCTAGGTAGACCTTTCATGAAAACTGCTAGAGCTAAGATTGATGTTTATGATGGGGTTTTGTCGCTGGAATTTGATGGTGAAAAGATTGAATTTAACTTATCTTCTGCGATGAAAAGTCCCATTGAAAATAATCAGCTTTGTTCTATGGATGTGATTGATGATTGTGCTCAAGCTGTTTTTAACTTGTCTAGTGATGATGTGTTTGATTCTGTGTTGTGTAATAGTTTGGACAGGGTAGAACTTGAATGCTTAGAATACAGCCTTCCTAGTGAAGTTTTGAACTTAGTTGAATACCTTGCTGAGTTTGAAGAGCTAGAAAACCTTAGCCAACCTGTGTTTAGGGCTGAGTTACTTGAGAACAGACCTAAGCTAGCTCCATCCTTAGTTTCTCCACCCAAACTTGAGCTTAAAGACCTGCCCGAAGACCTTAAGTATGCATTTTTAGGTCCAGACCAGACCCTACCAGTGATTATTTCTAGTGTTTTGACCAAAATTCAGGAAGAGAAACTCCTAAAAGTCCTGCGAGAGAATAGCCCAGCAATTGGTTGGACTTTGGCAGACTTGAAGGGGCTAAGTCCTACACTTTGCAGCCATAAAATAAGCCTAGAACCTGATGCCATACCTAAAGTAGAACACCCTAGAAGGCTTAATCCACCTATGTTAGAGGTAGTTCAAGAAGAGATCCTTAAGTGGCTTGAACATGATGTTATCTACCCTATAGCAAACAGCCCTTGGGTAAGTCCAATCCACGTAGTCCCTAAGAAAGGAGGAGCCACCGTGACTGTTAATGAATTAGGTGAGACCATCACTCTTAGGAAAACCAATAAGTGGAGGGTATGTATTGACTATAGGAAGCTTAACAAAGTAACAAGGAAGGACCATTTTCCTCTTCCTTTCATGGACCAGATGTTAGAGAGACTTTCAGGAAAGTCTCATTATTGTTTCTTAGACGGGTACTCCGGCTACATCCAAGTACCTATAGCCCCTGAAGACCAAGAAAAAACAACTTTTACATGCCCGATAGGTACCTTTGCCTTTAGGAGAATGCCCTTTGGTCTTTGTAATGCTCCCGCTACCTTCCAAAGGTGTATGATGAGCATTTTTTCTGAATTTTCCACCAAGATTGTTGAGATTTTCATGGATGACTTTTCTGTGTATGGAAATAGCTTTGACCAATGCCTCCATAACTTGGATTTGGTTCTTAAACGCTGCATTGAGTCAAATCTAGTTCTTAACTACGAAAAGTGTCACTTCATGGTGGAAAAGGGGGTAGTTTTAGGACACATAGTCTCTGCACAGGGTTTAGAAGTTGATCCCGCTAAGGTAGACCTTATTAAGACCCTTCCTTATCCCAAAAACCTTAAGGACATTCGATCTTTTTTAGGACATGCAGGGTTTTATAGGAGGTTTATTCAAGATTTTTCTAAGATTGCTCTTCCGTTAACTGCTTTACTTTCTAAAGATGTGCCTTTTCTGTTTGATGATGCATGTAAACTTGCTTTTGATACTTTGAAGGATAAATTGTGCTCTGCTCCTATTGTTCAAGCTCCTAATTGGGATTTACCTTTTGAATTGATGTGTGACGCTAGCGATAAAGCCGTAGGAGCTGTTTTAGGACAGAACTTAGGCACTGCAAGTTATGTTATCCAATATGCTAGTTGTACCCTTGACCCTGCCCAAGTCAATTACACGGTTACTGAGAAGGAAATGTATGCTGTTGTATTTGGGCTTGAGAAATTTAAGTCATATCTTTTAGGTGTTAAGGTACACATTCACACTGATCATTCTGCAATTAAGTATTTAATGAACAAAAAGGATAGCAAACCTAGACTCATCAGGTGGATTCTTTTAATGCAAGAATTTGATTTTGAAATTAAAGATAGGGCAGGTAAACTTAATCAAGTTGCTGATCACCTTAGTCGTTTAGAAGGACCACCGTCCAATCCTAGCCTTTTCACTGGATCATTTCCAGATGAGAATCTGTTGGCAATTTCTACAATTCCTTGGTTTGCTGACATAGTAAATTTTAAGGTTACTAAGACCTTTCCTCTTAATATGCCCAAGTCCCTACGTGAAAAAATTCTGTCTCAAGATAGATTTTACATATGGGATGACCCTTATCTTTGGAGAATATGCTCTGACCAGATTATTAGACGATGCGTGGATGACTCTGAGATTCCTTCTATTCTGAATTTTTGCCACTCCTTAGAGAGTGGTGGACACTTTGGACCAGAAAGGACAGCCCATAAAGTATTTGAATCTGGTTTTTATTGGCCTAATATTCGCAAAGATGCTGCTGATTTTTGTAAAAATTGTCCTAAATGCCAAAAAACTGGTAATCTTTCTTCAAAAAATCAAATGCCCTTGACTCCTATTTATGTGTGTGAATTGTTTGATGTATGGGGTGTTGATTTCATGGGTCCCTTTCCTCCTTCTTATGGTTATGTTTACATTTTGCTCTTTGTTGATTACCTGTCTAAGTGGATTGAAGCTATACCAACTAGGAAAGATGATGCTCAAACCGTGGTTAAGTGTACTAAATCTCATATAATCCATAAATATGGCTTTCCTAAGATCCTCATTAGCGATAGAGGCACTCATTTTTGTAATAGAACCTTAGAGATCCTTTGCTCTAAGTATCATATCACCCATAGGATTTCCACTGCCTATCACCCCCAAACCAATGGACAAGCCGAGATAAGCAATAGAGAAGTGAAAAATATCCTAGAAAAAATAGTCAGGCCGGATAAGAAAGATTGGAGTGATCGATTAGACGAGGCTTTATGGGCCTATAGAACTGCATATAAGACTCCTCTAGGTATGTCTCCCTACAGGATAGTATTTGGAAAACCTTGTCACCTTCCGGTAGAATTAGAACATAAATCATATTGGGCTGTTGAACAGGTTAATCTTGATTATGATTTGGCAGGAAAACATAGAAAACTGCAGATTCAAGAGCTTGAGGAGATTAGACTAGAAGCTTATGATAACTCAGTGATATATAAGGTTAAAGCAAAAGCCTTTCATGACTCTAAGCTTTCTAGAAAACACTTTGAGATAGGAGATAAAGTTCTTCTTTATAACTCTAAGCTTCGACTTTTTCCTGGGAAACTTACGAGATCTACCAATCCTGGGATGTGGCAACAATTCTGCATATTGGTACCTCGCCATCTGTAATTCTTACTTAGGAGACCTCAATGAAAATTCCAATTACCTGTATCCAATTTTGAAAAAACACTCCCTCCTAAAGCAGGACTAGTGGAGGAGTTAGTACTAGAAGCCGAACCTTAGAACTCTTCCTAGTTTCGTCTAGCCAAGGACGTTAAACCGGGCAGCTTATGGGAGGCAACCCACCTACTGTTTCCGTTCTTAATTTAGTTTTTTCTATTGTTTCTTGATTATCTTTTGCTTTAATAAACAAAACAAAAAAATCAGAAAATTAGAAAACAGAAAAAAAAATCAGAAAAATGAAAAAACTTCATCATCAGGAGTACTCAGAACACTGCTGCATTTACTGGATTTGATGGTCTATTTTTGCTTCATGTATGCTTCTAACTATTTATTTGAGTGTATATTCAAGATCTATTAAGTCAGAAGCATGCCCTTTGGAGTAAAATCTGCACAAATAGGTGTGAAATCTTATCCAAATCAGTAGTTCCAGCTGTCCCAGATTTAAGCTTTAGTTTCCTTACCCTTTTTGTGTTCAAAGTTTGGTTTCTGATATTACAGTTTGCACAATGAGAATCTGCACTATTAAGTCATGATTCCGCTTGCACAAGTGAATAACCTTTCCTTTCAAATCTGATTCTTGAGCTTAAATGGTAATTATCTGCATGGTAATGTGTAAAATCCTGATCCAAAACAGCAATTTCAAACACCTAAAGGTTGCATTGTTTTCCTTAAGGCTTGGGTGTTATAATATGGTCATATTTAAGCTGAAAGTTGAGACATATGCATTGTTTACAACCGATTTTCGGATACTAATGAAAAGTTCTGCACTTTGAAAAGTTATTTTTGGACTTGTAAGCTGATTTTTTTTGAGTGCAAAAATGCAAATTTTACACTTTTTACAGCTTATAGGTGCTGAAATAGAAAAAATCTGCAATCTTTTCTTGGTGTTCAATCTGATTTTTGAGTTCATCAGATGCATATGTGCTGAATTATGAGGTTTAATAGATGCATATGAGCTGCTTTGCACATGCATGACATAACTAACCTTCTCATATACAGTATTCTGTTTCGAAAAGGCACAAGAATCTGTGTTTTCAGGAACCTGACTTGAGGCTTGAAATCTGCATTTCTTTGAATCAGATTTTTAGTTCGTCAATACTAAAAGACTTGGTCTTAGTCATGTTTTTGCAGATCTTAGTTCCATCGAGCACTTTAAGGAGGGAAAAGTGATGAGTTGATGCTGCGTATACTTTGTTTTTTAGTTGCATTTCCCTCTCCCCTTTTCTCTTTACTAAGTCTGTGCTTGCTTACTATTTGCATACCATATAGATGCATTGGGGACTATGCACATTTTAAGTGTGGGGGGAGTTGCTCATGCTTATGTCATTGCTTAAAAAAAAAAAACTTTTGGGGCAAAATTTTTTCAAAAAAATAGGTTTTGGGTCCAAATATTTTTCATTCCTAGTTGCATATCATCTTATTCAGAGCATTGTTTTCAAAAATTGACCCAAAAACCTCATCATTTTCCTTGGGGCTTTATTCTGAAAGATGGCAAGTGTATACTTTTTAAACCCACATTGAGTCTTATGCTCTTTACTTGGTAAAAATGGCCCTTAAAATGTTTGAAATCCTTCTAGGAATCCCGTAGAATTTTGTTTTCTAGAACTGGCCATCCACATATTATCTAGATGCTGCCTAATCAACCATTGCTTGATATTAAAATCTGAAAAAAAAGAGAGAATCCAGTTTTAGGAGCTTTTTATTTTTAGAAAATTGAGTGATTTTTATATTTTTAGGCTTATTGATAAACGTTGCTAACGCTGCTATTGAGCCGTTCTAAACCATAGGATTCCGCTAGGAAACTTTTTTGTAGCAGCTTTAGAGCATTTGCTAGAACCCAAAAAAATCCACACCTTAGTTTTCCATCCTTGTAGGATTTCTAGCTCACTTTGTTTTTAAAATGTGAATGAGCATAAAGTCTTAAGTGTGGGGGTTTAAGGTTCACTTCGTTTTTTCTTGATGATGATAAAAAGAAATAACATACTTTTTTTTGGTCTTTTGAACGAGGACATTCAAGTCTTAAGTGTGGGGGTATTTGATAAGTCGTTTTTGGGTTAGTACTTTTTATTTAATTTTAGGCATTTTTAATATTTTTAGTCTTTAATTTTTAGTTGTTTAGTTTAGTTTTATTTTAATTCTTATTTTTTACAATCTTTTTATTTTCTTTCAAAAATAGTAGCTTTTAATCATTCTTTTTGCATTCTATTATTTATTTTATTTTTCCTAACCCAAATTATCAGATATCTTATTTTTTGGAGAAAATTGCAGCAAAAGGTCGAATTGAAGTTCAAGTTTGAAAAGAAGAGATTGATTTTGGGCCAAAGCCGAGAACAAACATAATTCAGCCCACCAATCATCCCACATTATCTTCACGCAAGAAGAAACGAACGGCATTTCTTCATGGCAGAGAGGACCGAGTAAAACCGGCGAAGCATTCAACGCTCCAACGTTCGGCTCCATCAATTGCGCGACAATCAATTGCCAACGGGAAGAAAAGCTTCGACTATAAATTGCACCCAGAATCATCAGCTCGAAAGGAGGGGGAACGAACTAGAGAGCTCCATTCTTCAATTTCTTCATCTTCTTCTTCTATAGGTACCCAAATAAATTGGCTTTCGGACTTAATCCGGAAGTCAACCCTTTAAATTTTCAATTCTTTTGTTGTTTCTATGTTCAAGTGTTGTTTTTTTCCAATTTATCACTTTTTTTCGTTACTTGTTCATGTAAAAAAATCTGGCAAAAAAATATAACGGTTGGTGTTCTTTTGGGTGTATGTTCTTGTTTTAAATGTTCATATATAATCCCTTATGAATGAGAATTGATTCTTTCTTATTTACTTCAATTATTGCACAAGTTGTTGTTAAATTGGTTGAATTGTTTCAAATTCATAAGTAGGTTTTATGTAGAATTCGGTTTTTGTTGAAGCTATTTTAGCTCCATAAGATAGTTAAATAAACTCCGAATTCATACGTGTTTCTTTGTTGTGCTT